TAGAGTTGCTACAGTGGCAGTCTCATCCTCTAGGGCAGGTCCTCCATAGCAAATGAACACTGGATGACAGTTGAAGCTTCTAGAGTGCAGGGCACTGGCACATGTCCTTGTTATGCCAGGGCTCCATGTGGTCTGACTGCCAGCAGTGACAGAGACATTGGCATTTTCCTTGCCTACAGGCTTCTTTGCCTACACATGTGGTCGACTGGTGGTGGTGGAGGACCTGCATTCTGGTACCCAACGGCACTGGCTTGGCCATCCCCAGGAGATTTCTACTCTGGCACTCAACCAGGATGGCCAGGTGCATACCCTACCTATGTACATGGGCACATAGTGTACAACAGAGCTTGGTTCTAGCTCAGCATGAAGGGCACCGTCCCAGCTTCTTCTCCATTCAGCAAGGGCAGGCATACGTAGCTGCCTTCCACTGACCACTTACCCTCCTGCTTGCAGGTCTTGGCCTCTGCCTCCTGCTGTGGCAACACAGCTACCCGCTGCCAGATCCGCATTTGGGATGTTTCCAAGGGCCTCTGTCAGCACCTCCTTTCCCACCATGACACAGCTATTCAAGCTCTGGCCTTCTCACCAGATGATGAGTTCCTTGTGACACTGGGTAGGTGGGCTTGGGTAAACAGAGAGAGAATGGGCAGACTTCTGAGGAGCTTCTGAGGCTGGACCATGCCTGACATCGTTGTTCTGTGTCCCCAGGGGACTATGCTGACCTCACGCTTGTCCTGTGGAGCACAGCCACCTATGAACTCCTGTCATCCACTCGCCTCCCAGAGCCTGTGCATGGTGTGGCGTTCAACCCCTGGGATGCCAATGAGCTCATCAGTGTGGGCACAAGTGCCATTACCTTCTGGCTCCTGCAGCATAATGGAACAGACACCAGCTTTCAGGTACCAGACTGATGGTACCTGAGGTGTTTTTTTTCTTTTCTTTTTTTATTTATTTTATGTGCGTTGGTGTTTTACCTGCATGTATGTCTGTGTGAGGGTGTTAGATCCCCTGGAACTGGAATTACAGACAGTTGTGAGCCGCCATATGTTTGCTGGGAATTGAACCCAGGGCCTCTGGAAGAGCAGCCAGTGATCTTAACTGCTGAGCCTTCAGCCCTGAGGTGTTTCATGGGCAGCTTCAAAGGATGGAATCTGATTGCCTCAGGACATCACTGACCCACAGCTACCCTTGTGCTCTGTCAGGTACACCGGGAACCAGTCCCTGAGGAATTGGGGGCATCTGAGTTGACCTCACTCTGCTATGGGGCCAGCCCCCTGCTCTACTGTGGCTCCAGCTCTGGCCAGGTCTGTGTCTGGGACACTGGCACTAGCCGCTGCTTCCTGGCCTGGGAGGCTGATGAAGGCGAGATTGGTAGGTGCCCAACAACCTCTGTAGCCCTCTGTACTAGCTGTCACAACCTGGGGGATGGACATCTCTACCCACCCTGTCTTCTAGGAGTGTTGCTGTGCTCGGGTTCAAGATTGGTCAGTGGCAGTAACACAAAAAGGCTGCGCCTTTGGGCTGTGGGGGTTGTGCCAGAGCTGAGGCGCAAGGGCTCAAGTGCCAGGTGAGCTGCCATGGGCCTCTGCCCTGCACAATTCCCTTGGGTTTTGGCAGCAAAGTCTCAAGTCCTTGATGGTTCCTGCAAGTCAGCACTCCTGTAGCACAGTTCTTACGTGAAAGCTGCCCTATATATCTGTCATCAGCTGGGTCCCTTCTTGAGAATACACTCACGCATAGCATGGGCCTTGCAGGCTACAGAGCAAGAAGACATTGGCTTGAAGCCCCTGGGCTCTGTAGGGTCTTGGTTCCTTTACCCATGAGAGCACAGCACCAGATGGCTGCTATTTCCTCTATCACCTGGCATACTCAGTTGGCTCATGTCTTCAGCTTCAAGACTCCTTTCTCTTATTCTTTTAGATCCAGTTCTGTTTTCATGGAGCGTGAGCTGACCCTGGATGGGGCTATTGTGAGTGCCAGCTTTGACAGTGGCATGGACATGGGTGTAGTGGGCACCACAGCTGGCACGCTCTGGTACATCAGCTGGACAGAGGGCACTAGCACCCGCCTCATCAGTGGCCACAGGAGCAAGGTGAACCTGCTGGGCTGTTAAGGAAGACAGGATTTCCACCCCAGGCAGGGCAGACTAGGGTGGCAAGCCTGACAGTCATGTGATAGATTGTGCATGTGGCCTGTATCAGGCTCCCTTCACTGTCCATCAGATTTCCAGGTTCATCCAGCCTGTGTGTGTCAGTGGCCAGTCTCCTATTATTCAAATAGCCAGCATGCTCTTTCTCTCATACAAGTTTGGGTCTTGAGCCCTTGAGATGTGCTGGCAGTCCTGATTGCTTTCCAGCACTAAGGGTTGATAAGAGGTCCAGACCCAGAAGCTGTGTTATGAACATCATGTTTGTCATGTTTGTCCCACTGTTTGTCAGCTGAATGGAGCTAGAGATGAGACCCGGGACCCCTGACCAACTCTCAACCTTGAATTTCCTCCAGGAAATGGCATGCATCAGTTTACACTGAATTTTATTGCTTTGTGGCATCTGTGCCACCTTTCTCCAAAAATCCTGATTCTCAGTGGTGTCCACAAGATACACATCTGTTTTCTCCAACAAGACATTCAACAGCCTGAAGGGGGAAAAAAAAAGCCACTCATGTCACAAGCACTGGAGACAGCCAAGCATCTTGTGCTTTTGCTTTTAGTCTTTAGCCTGCCAGAGACACTGGGTCACATTATATATTTTAGGTTCTGTTAATGTTTCCCATGGATTTCCAAGTCCCACCTACTGATGGGGTCATCCCCAGGTATAGGGAAATAGCATGTACCTTCGCATGGAGGTGGTTGGGCCAAGTAGGCTTGGGCAAAAAACAGATGTTTCTCTGTGGGTAGCCTGGTCCTGGAGACCAGGTAGGAAGGGCCCATCTGGGCATTCCCTCACCCATACTGGGATCCCACAGGTAAACGAGGTGGTCTTCAGCCCCAACGAGTCTCACTGTGCCACCTGTGGTGAGGATGGGAGTGTGAGGGTGTGGTCTTTGGCCAGCATGGAGCTGGTGATCCAGTTCCAAGTGCTAAACCAGGTAAGTGGGGAGTTCTGGGAGGCAGACTTAGTGTATGCTCAAAGCAGAGCCCAGGTCATATGCTATGCTCCCGTGGGCTGAAACTGGTGCCTTTGTCACCTCCCTGGGGACACTAGAGCTGCCTCTGCCTTGCGTGGACCCCCCCATCCTGTGGACGCCCAGAACAGCAGCAGGTGGTGGCAGGCTACAGTGATGGCACACTTCGAGTCTTCAGCATCTCTCGTACTGCAATGGAGCTCAAGATGCACCCCCACCGGACTGCTCTGACAGCCATTGCCTTCTCCAGTGATGGTGAGGAGATGGGGCCACAGAGAGTGAAGCGCCAGCCTCATCTAGCCCACATCACACTTCAGGGCATGGGCTAGGCTCACAGTGTGGCAACATAGTCTCCATCTGGCACAGGTCAGACCATCCTATCTGGAGACAAGGATGGGCTTGTGGCTATAAGCCACCCCTGCACAGGAATGACCTTCCGTGTACTCAGTGACCACCGGGGTGCTCCAATCTCTGCTATCCAGAGCATAAGCAAAGAGGTAAGGCAACCTCATGTGATGGTGGGAAGAGGTCTGGATGCTGTGGGCAGTCGGCAGGTTCTCATGTCCTTCATTTCTCCCAGTATGGAGACCTAGGGGTAGAGGGTGTAGACCTGTGGCTGGCTGCAAGTGGGGATCAGCGGGTCAGTGTCTGGGCCTCTGACTGGCTCCGGGACCGCTGTGAACTTCTGGAGTGGTTGAGCTTTCCTGCACCTGCCACCTCAGAGGTAAGAGTTCCAAGGGGCATATGGGTGGGAATTGGGACCTGCACAACTCAACATACTATTTCTCACAGGCTCTAGGCCTCCTGCCCCCCTCTCTTGCTGCCTTCTGCCCTTGGGATAGGGCGATACTGGTGTGCGTTGGTCTTGGTGCACATGAAGAGGTGATCTTCTACAGTCTCCGCCAAAAGCAGGTTTGTGCATTCATAATAGATGCTGCATTGTAGGTGGGCATCCAGGGCTGTGCATCACAGGGTCATAAGGCCATGGAGCCTGGGCTGTGTCCCTAGCAGGAGTCCTCAGTGTCACGCTGTCTGCTGTCCTCCTATAGGTGGTACAGAAGACACCGCTGCCCTTCTTTGCCATGTCCTTGAGCCTGTCCCCAGGAGCCCAGCTCATGGTGGTTGGCTTTGCTGGTGAGTGCTGGTAGACACACTTGTACTGTTTGGGGGAGTGGCAAACTGGCTCACCTACTCTTCATCTCTGTGCCCTGGGGCTCCCTCTCTTTGAAGAGTGTGGAGGCATAGCCCCAAAGAGGGCCTAAGCTCAAAGGCAAGGTGCAAGTCACCAACTAACTGCAACACCTGCACTGAGGCAAATAGGGTAGCTTTTATGGCCTTCAGCCATAGCAGGTTTGGGGATATAGAAATTGATCATGGCCTTGACTCCTCTCAGCAAGATTCCTTGGTGGGAGCACTGAGTCAGGCTGGGGGCACAAGAGGATTGGACATCCCTCTGGGTGCTGCCTGGTCCTCTCATCCTGTCATCTACCCACAGAGTGCATGCTGAGGCTCCTAGACTGTGAGTCAGGGACTGCCCAGGACTTTGAAGGCCATGATGACTCAGTACACCTGTGTAGGTTCACCCCATCTGGCAGACTGCTCTTCACAGCTGCTCACAATGAGATCCTGGTGTGGGAAGTCACCAGCCCCAGCCCCTGAACTATTGCTAGGAACAGGCAGAAAAGCCAGGCTGTGGATTGATGTATGCTGAGCCAGGATGGCTGGGACAGGCTTCAGAACTACACCATTTTGCATGGGGGTGACCTGAAAAGATTTAAGGAAGCTGAAGGTGTGGCAATGTCTTCTTAGAGTGTGTGAGGACACGGATTTGATCCCCAGAACCATTCCCTCCACCCCCGACCACAGAAGACTTAGCATACTGGGAAGGTTGTTTTATTTTTATTATGTACAGTTTAAATAAAATCTGGCATTTGCTATATTGATACATTGTTTTATTATTGCCCCATAAATTACATCTCTGCATCACTTCTGTCCTGAGCTCAGTCTTTGCCCCTATCCCCCAATCCTGTCGTTTGTCTAGCCTTTCTCGCCACTGGCCTGTCCACCTGAGAAGCTTGTTGGGTCCAAGAGAACTGGCTGCATCACCTGCAGCGTTAAGAGCACCCATGCGGCGGCGCCGACGCGTAGCTCAACCACTAGCTGGAGCTGCGCGGGCGGGCCCGGAAGTTTGGATGAAGGCGGGATTAGAGACAGGAAGTGTGGGGGCTTGGGCGGGTTGAAGGAGAGGGCTGGGTTGGGGTTGGGGTTGGGTCTAGGTCTAGTTGGTCCGTTTTGGGCCGGGAGGGGTGGGTTTGGGGTGCTGTTGCGGGCGGCAGCCATGCGGCGCGACGTGCGCATCCTGCTGCTAGGCGAGGGTAGGCGCTGGGACCGCGGGCAGACGGGTAGGGTCGCTGTGACCTCGGCCATGCTCCTGACTACTTACTGTTGCCTCTCTGCGCGCAGCCCAGGTCGGCAAGACTTCTCTGATCCTGTCGCTGGTCGGCGAGGAGTTTCCCGAGGAGGTGTGCCGGCTGGACTGGACACTCGGGGCGGAAGCGAAGCTCTGGGAGGCCGGGCTCCGCAGTCAACCCCGACCCACCTGTTACAGGTCCCTGCCCGCGCCGAGGAGATAACCATCCCCGCCGACGTCACCCCGGAGAAGGTGCCCACCCACATCGTGGATTACTCAGGTATCTCCAAGTGCTGCCCCCTCAGCCTGTGTGTATTTGGCCTGCAGCCGGTCTGCAGCCAGCCCAACAGCCTCTCAGCATCGCTTTCTCTTTCCTTCTAGAAGCGGAGCAGACAGAGGAGGAATTACAGGAGGAGATCCACAAGGTGCGTGGAGATCCTGAGGGCCCGTGGGTACTGAGCCCCATTCATTGGTCCTAACTTGCTGCCACCTAGTCTTAATCGGCTTCTTCTGCAGAGCCGGATTAGGTGACTGGCTGTGGTTGACCCTGATAATTCTGCTGTGACCTTCAGCACTGAATGTTAGTGGCTTTCCCAGATCACAGCTTTCTGGGAACCAGGACTGGTCCAGTGCCTCCATTAGTGCTCAGGGAGAGAAGGGACCTCCCTTCTTTGGTCCTTCCCAGGGTCTAAGGGGAGCAGATACATGTGTCCTTCACTGCTTCTATTTAAACACTAAACTCCCTTTCTCCAGTATCATGGCTCTGTACTCCAGTCTACTGCCTGGTTCCCAGGCTGTGGTGGATAGCATCTTAATTAGGAGTTAGCCATTGCCAGAGTTACCATGTTCCTGAATGCAGTCCTTCAGTCTCTGTATTCTATGGCTGGCAGTGTCTTCTTGCTCTTGTCCAATGTGTCCTCGCTGCTTGTACTGAGCTAGAAAGTGAGAGATTCTGGTCAGGACTGTACCCTGCCTATGGTGGGTCTGTCCTAAGCACACAGGACAAGGATATGCTGACTAGAGCCATGGTGCTAGTGTCTGGTGTCTCTTAGGGAGTGCTGGCAGAGAGAGGCTTGTTTGGTAAAAGTGGGCTTCCCAGTCTTCATAGCCCATCCTGCTGTGAGCACCTGGGACATTCTGGAGTGGCCCATGCTGTTTATAGTGAGCAGGTAGCCTCTGGTCACCCTGTGTCTTGCTTTCCCTTAGGCCAATGTAGTGTGTGTGGTGTACGATGTGTCTGAGGAAGCCACCATTGAGAAGGTGAGCAAGAGGGGAGCTCCTTGTCCATTCTCAGCCTCTGCTGCTAGTGCCTGGCTTAGTTGGCAGTTGACCTGGCCTCTTGTTCCTCAACCTCATCCTCATTCCCAGCTTCATCTCTGTTGAGCCCCATACCTTTGAGCTAGGGACTGCTTGGGGAGATTGCAGCTGTTGGGAACAGACAAATCCCTCTCTGTCATCCTCAGTCTCCCACCAGCTTCATCCACAGGACCATAGTTGGCTTCCAATTCTGCTCCATTCCTAAAGCTTGTTTAGCCCCAGGTAGGGAAGCATGTGTGCATTCTTCCTTCACATTTGAACTCTGTCTTTCAGATCCGAACCAAGTGGATCCCCCTGGTGAATGGCAGGACTGCAGCAGGGCCCAGGTGACCCGCAGGGCCTCAGCTAGGGGGACTAGACCCTACCTGCTCCCCATCCCTGGTGATCATGGCCTCTCTCCCAGGTTGCCCATCATCCTGGTGGGCAATAAGTCAGACCTGCGACCAGGGAGTACCATGGAGGCTGTGCTACCCATCATGAGCCAGTTTCCTGAGATAGAGACCTGTGTGGAGGTGAGCAGGGAGATTAAGAAGGGCTGTGTTAAGAACCTGCAGCAGCCTCCTAGGTCTGTCTTGGATCCCTCTTTGATTCTGTCCCCACCCTCGTCCAGTGTTCAGCCAAGCACTTGAGGAATATCTCAGAGATGTTCTACTATGCCCAGAAGGCTGTTTTGCACCCCACGGCCCCCCTTTATGACCCTGAGGCCAAACAGGTGAGTAGCGGGTGAGGGCCACACACTTACTTCCCCGAGACTCATCCCAAGGCCTATGTGAGGTGATGGATGAGGAGAGCAAGTGAATGGGAGCACTGGCAGGATGAACAGGGAAAGGGCTACTTGGTGTTGTATCCCTGCAGCTAAGACCTGCGTGCGCCCAGGCTCTCACACGCATCTTCAGGCTCTCGGATCAGGACCTAGACCAGGCACTCAGCGATGAGGAGCTTAATGCCTTCCAGGTGTGGCCCTACCCCAAGACCCTAGCTGCCCTCATAAGAGAGTGATCATGAGCAGCTGACTGACGTGAAGCACTTTCTTACCGGAGGTAGAAGTCCTGCTTTGGCCATCCCCTGGCCCCACAGGCCCTAGATGATGTGAAGAGGGTAGTATGCAAGAATGTGGCAGGTGGCGTGCAGGACAACCAGCTGACCCTGGAAGGTGAGGCGGACATCATCTTATGCCCGTATGTGTGGGGAGTGGCTGGTCTGAGTGCTAGTCCTCCATCCTTTCACAGGCTTCCTCTTCCTGAACACACTCTTCATCCAGCGTGGCCGTCATGAGACCACGTGGACCATCCTGCGGCGCTTTGGTTACAGTGACTCACTGGAGCTGACGCCTGACTACCTCTGCCCACCGTGAGTTGCAAGCGGGTGGGCAGTGGGACTTATACTCTTGGGGTGGGTCCTGCTCACCGGGACTGTCTGGGGTTGGGGCCCTCAGCTCTGGCTTCCTGTTGGATCTGCCTTGTGACCTGGGGACTCCAGCTTGGCCTCTCAACACACACTCGTAGCCACTCCCCTTTCCTAGCCCCAACCATGTGACCAGAGGGTTCTGTTGGGGTGCCTGACTGCCCAGGCAGATCCTGCATTGTGATATTTGACGTGCACTAGACTGCCTCTTGAATCCCCACAGGCTCCATGTACCCCCTGGCTGCAGCACAGAGCTCAACCACCGTGGCTACCAGTTTGTGCAGCGGGTATTTGAGAAGCATGACCAGGTGAGCACCATTACTACCTCACCTGCCCCTCAACAGACACCAAGCATATGTCACCACAGCCCCTCTGCTTATAGGACCATGATGGTGCCCTCTCATCCACGGAGCTACAGAATCTCTTCAGTGTGTTCTCAGTGGCTCCCTGGGGCCCGGAGCTCCCATACACAGTCCCCACTCAGGCTGGCCGGCTGACCTTACATGGCTATCTCTGCCAATGGACGTAAGTACAGTCTGCACCTGTCTGTCTATTCTTACCCACTCTTGCCTTACTCCCCTTAGCACTGTGCCTCTTTTTACCCCCAGCCTGGTGACCTACCTAGATGTCCAGCAATGCCTTGCACACCTTGGCTACCTGGGCTACCCCACCCTCTGTGAGCAGGACTCCCAAGCACAGGCCATCACAGGTGGGTAGCTACTTTTTTGGCTCCTGGGTCCAGCTCCTCCTTAGTGCCCAACCCCCTCATGTGAGCTCTTTACAGTTACCCGTGAAAAGAGGATAGACCAGGAGAAAGGGCAGACACAGCGCAATGTCCTTATGTGCAAAGTGTTGGGAGCCCGAGGAGTGGGCAAGTCCGCCTTCTTACAAGCCTTCCTTGGCCACAGTCTGAAGGTGAGAACTGTGGCGGCCCCAACCTCTACCAGGGAACTCAAGGGGCAGGCGAGGTACCACAGGGAACTCTGGAGCCAGGAGATAAAGGCTTCTTTCCTTCTTCCACACAGGAAGCCAGAGAACTCCCCGAGGAACACCCCATGCACACCATCAATACAGTGCGGGTCAGCGGACAAGAGAAGTACCTGATTGTGAGTGAGGGACTGTACACCCTGTCTTGGAGGGTAGACCTGTGACACCCCATGTTCCCCATTCTATCTCCTGATGGAGCTGTCGCAGGGTGGCTGTTGGGGGACCAAGCCTTGGGAAGCTGCTAAGGCTATTGTTTGTCCCAGTTGTGTGAAGTGAGTGCTGACAGCCTGCTGGATGCCTCTCTGGACCCTACCTGTGATGTTGCCTGCTTAATGTTTGATAGCAGTGACCCCAAGACCTTTGTACACTGTGCTACCATATACAAGGCAAGTCCTGACTTTGGGTCCTGCAAGGGGTTCACAACCATTGGCTAGCTAGCTAGGCCAGCAAACTCAGTTCTCCTGTTTCTTTCCTGACAGCACCATTACATGGACGGGCAAACCCCCTGCCTCTTTATCTCCTCCAAAGCTGATCTCCCTGAAGGTGTTGCCGAGCCAGGCCTGTCACCGGCTGATTTCTGCAGAAGACACCGGCTGCCTGCCCCCACCTCATTCTCCTGCTTAGGACCAGCCCAGCCCAGCCCAGCCGTCTTTACCCAACTTGCTACCATGGCCACCTTCCCGTGGGTACACCTAACACAGCCTTAGTGTGGGGTGGCTATCCCAGGGCTTAGTCTGTCATCTGGGTACTAAGGTGTCAGAGCTGCAGGGTGGGGCCTGTGGCCCAGAGAGCTGTCCTGGGTTTCCTCCTTTGGCCTGGCCTCTGACTGCTTGGGACACGGGTTTTCTTTTGTTGTTGTTGTTGTTGGTGGTGGTGGTTTTTGTTTTTGTTTTTGTTTTCAAGACAGGATTTCTCTGTGTAGCTTTGGAGCCTGTCCTGGCACTCGCTCTGGAGACCAGGCTGGCTTCGAACTCACAGAGATCTGCCTGCCTCTGTCTCCCGAGTGCTGGGATTGGGACATGGGTTTTCAGCAGTGAGTTTTTAGCACATTCATCTCTCCACAGACACCTGATGCACACAGAGCTGCACCCCCCCTCCTTTTGGCTCCGAGGAATGCTGGTGGCTGTCGGGACTGCGGTGGCTGCTGTCCTTAGCTTCTCACTATACAGGGTCCTAGTGAAGAGCCGATGATAAAGGACCCATGAGCCTCTCTTAACCAAGGCACAGCACACTGCTGCCTTGTGGGTGCCCACACGGCAGAGAAGTATGAGTTTTCAGCTTGGTGGTGTAATGGCTGTGTGGCTACAGGGTCCCCGGGACTGATGTGGGGGACCTGCTCAGGGACTTTGTTTCTAAACCTTGGTTTCAAAAACCTACTGCTCCATGAGAGGGCTGTGCTTTGCCTTGTCCAGCTGTGCCTGAGAGTACAGGTGGCAGGTGTAGGCCTTAGTCTTGGAGGGAGTATTGTGTGTCAGGGACTCAGTTGTGGGTAAGGAAGCCAGGGACCAGGACCAGGAGTTCTCAGGGTACTTCCTGGTTCAGTATAGCCAGTAGGCATGTGGGGGGGGGGGCGGCAAGAGATGGTGGTCAAATCGGGGAGGGACCTGATAGTCACAGAGTTCTCACCTTTCTATGTAGTGGGAGCTTTACCCACACTGTACCAGCTTCAGAGAAAGTGGAATTGGGTTTCCTGATTAAACTTCACTCATCTTTTCCATCTCTTGGATATTGGTCTCTCAAGATGGCTTTTTTTTTCTTAAAAACATGTTTATCTTTTATGTTTGCTTTGCCTGCATGTATATAAGTGTACTGTGTATGTACCTGGTGCCCACGGAGGCCAGATGAGTTTGTCAAATCCCCTGGGACTGGAGTTAACTGATGATTGTAAACCACCATGTGGATGCTGGGAACAAATCCAGATCCTCTGCAGGAGCAGCAAGTACTCTTAACCACTAAGCCATCTTTTTAGACCCTTAAAATGGCTTTTCTATGCCAGGCAATGGTGGCACACGCCTTTAGTCCGCACTTGGGAGGCAGAGGCAGGCGGGTCTCTGTGAGTTCGAGGCCAGCCTGGTCTACAAGAGCTAGTTCCAGGACAGCCTCCAAAGCTGCAGAGAAACCCTGTCTCAAAAAACAAAAACAAAACAAAACAAACAAACAAAAAAAAGAGGCTTTTCTTCAATCAGTCTAAATGTGACTTCTGTCTTTGTGTGAATTAGAAACATCAGCTGGCCCTTCTGTCTGCCTCTGTTCTGGGTCCCTATTCTGAGGTCTCATTAGTCACAGTGTTAAATGGCTGTGGTAGATCCAGTTGGGGTCTGCTGTCCAGTAAAGTCAGGATCCACCAGTGGGTTGGGTGTGTGTGACAGGTCCAATGCACATGCCTATTTCCTCCCTGGAGATGTAGGTGGTTCCTTAGTACCCACACTCCATACTTTGGCCAGTCAGCCTGCTTGGCTATGCTGAGAACCTAGGCTTTATGTGTAGCCTGACTGTTATGAGTAAGAGATAGACTAGATCCCTGCCTGGCCAGGAGCTGAGGGGAGGATAGACAGTGGGGCTCAGTGTTAACCTGCAACATGGCCTACCACCAAGCACAGACAGGAATCTGCATATCCAGATAACCAGTGTGTGATTTGAGTTGGGGCAGATAGGTACTCTGCCCCTGAATGTCTGCCTGATGGGAATCCTTGAAAGGGGGAGTCCCTCCCTTTTGTCAGTGTCCTGGCCTTCTGTTCCACTAAGCATCTGGACAGGGTGCTTTTTGTAGGCAACTGTATTCCCTATGGAGGAACTGCCATCCCATCTCTGCAGCAGAAGATTGCATTTTGAGTGATACTTGGAGGAGTTGCCATGGTTACATATCCCATTGGTCTGTCACCTTCACTGTTCTCAGAAACAAATCCCCTCTCTTATCCAAGCTGTGGTCCTACCTTCCTTCAGAAGGCTGTTTGCCTGGCTATTCCCTGCTCTGCACTGGAGGCCCTGCTGTCTCAAATCCAGTGCCAGAGGTATTTGGTTAGAGCTTCCAGCCTTAGCCACCAGTAGGGGGGGAAGGGTGTGAGCCTTGGTCTGAGCAGTAGCAGTGCCCTACCCCCTGGCGTCTGGGCTTGCTTTGCAGGACCTGGGGGTTCCTTGCTGGAACACTGCAAATAATAAGGATGAGAGTATGTTTACTACAAGCAGCTCCCAGCCCAGGAGAAAGTCTGAGTACCGTGGGGAGCAAATGGACCTTGACATTCTGGGGATGGGTCACAGGCCTATTTTTTTGGTTAGTGAAAGCTCCCTAGAGAAGGTGCTAACTGAGCATGCCGAGTACAGAAACCAGAAAGGCTGCATAAGAGGGATATTGGGTATCGCAGGTTCCCAGCAACAGCCTCCTGGGAGAAGGTTCTGCAGCACGTAGTGCAATAGCTGTGCTGTGCGCAGGCTGTGGTTCTGGGTCGAGCTGTTTGGTGGGGGACCGTTCTGCCCAGGATGTGCGCGAGTCAAGGCGGCGCGTGCGCGTCCTGGGTACGCGCGTGCTCTGCCCGTGTACGCGCAGGGCTGGCATCTCAGTGACGCTGTCTGAGCTTGGTGCGCACAGAGCAGAGCAGGTGGAGCGGGCCGGCCGGGGCGGAGCGGAGCGGTCCGCAGAGCAGCCCCTCCCGGCCTCGGCCGACCCCGGCCCTCGGGCCGGCTCTATGGACAGGAGCTCGCTGCTGCAGCTAATCCAGGAGCAGGTGCGTGGTGGGTGGGAGCTGGCACTGCCTTGGCGCCCTTCCAGCCGGTGAGGGGCTCAGGGGAGGGACCATGCTCACAGAAGGCCCTACCAGGCATCCACCTCTGAAGGCTCCCGAAGCCTTCACGACCTTGGCTTCTGAGACTCACGACGACCCCAGGAAAGGTCTGGCTTCACTGGGTTTCCACGGAAAGCTGGGGAGGGAGGGTGGTGATCCTCGGACCTAGGTCCTTCCCCCTTCTAGGACTGATAGGGTGAATTTGAGGTGCTAGAGCAGCCAAACCAGGCATCTTGCCCTGCCAGGGCCTGGGAACAAGCTGGTTCTAGCAAACAGGCACTGACTGGCCCTGAAGTCCAGCTTCCTAGCCAGCCTGGCTCAGCCCTGTGGCTGGAGGTTGGCCCACCCTCTACTCCCCCACCACAGCAGCTGGATCCTGAGAACACAGGCTTCATCGGTGCAGACACCTTCGCTGGTCTGGTACACAGCCATGAGCTGCCCCTGGACCCTACCAAGTTGGACATGTTGGTGGCTCTGGCTCAGAGCAACGAACGGGGCCAGGTCTGCTACCAGGAGCTGGTGGACCTGGTCAGTGCCATGGTGTGTGGGCAGCAGGGGAGGGGCCCCAGTCCTGATCAAGCACAGCACCCTGGCCAAAGCTGGGTGGGCAGGCAGCTTACTGGGTAGGGCTTAGGGACCCGGGTAGTGTGGAATAGGGCATCAAACTATTAGCAGCCACATAGGGCAGCCAATTAGGGCAGGGGTTCACAGGTACAGTACTGTCACCCACATTAAGACCCCTTCCCTTCAGATCAGCAGCAAGCGTTCCAGCAGCTTCAAGAGGGCCATTGCTAATGGACAACGGGCGCTGCCCCGGGACGGACTGCTAGATGAGCCAGGCCTGGGTATCTACAAGCGGTTTGTGCGATATGTGGCCTACGAGATCCTGCCCTGTGAGGTGGATCGACGCTGGTACTTCTACCGGCACCGCAGCTGCCCACCCCCTGTGTTCATGGCCTCTGTCACCCTTGCCCAGGTGGGCCTGCCCACATGCTGCCCCGGGGCCTCCTGAGTCCCTAGTCTTGACCAGCCCTCTCCTGAGTCCCTAACCCAGACCAGCCCTAACACTAGTGTCCCCAGATCATCGTGTTCCTGTGCTACGGGGCACGTCTCAACAAGTGGGTGCTCCAGACCTACCACCCTGAATACATGAAGAGCCCTCTAGTGTATCATCCAGGACACCGCGCTCGCGCCTGGCGCTTCCTCACCTACATGTTCATGCATGTTGGGTAAGTGAACCTTGGGGTTCCAGAGGCCTGTCTCCTTACCTCCCAGCACCTGCCTGTAGACTTTGAAGGCTTAATGCTCACAGGGGGTTGCAGCTGCCTGAGGTAGCCTGGGGGTGGTCAGGGCGCACATCTGATCACCCCTCCCCAATGCTCCTTTGTGGCCAGGCTGGAGCAGCTAGGGTTCAATGCCCTCTTGCAGCTGATGATCGGGGTGCCCCTGGAGATGGTGCACGGTGTGCTTCGCATCAGCCTGCTCTATCTGGCAGGTGTGCTGGCAGGTGAGACAGGCACGTTGGTGAGTGGGTCCCCTGCCTACCATACCCGGTGAGCTGAGGGCCAGCTGTGCCTTCACCTCTTCCTTTGCCCACAGGCTCCCTGACTGTCTCTATCACAGACATGCGTGCCCCTGTGGTAGGGGGCTCTGGAGGGGTCTATGCCCTGTGCTCAGCACACCTGGCCAATGTTGTCATGGTAATGGGTCTGCCCTTCTGGGGAGGTGGGAAGGGGCCCACTGGACATGCTTCACAGCCTGTCTGCCTGCCCCCATCAGAACTGGGCTGGGATGCGGTGTCCATACAAGCTGCTGAGGATGGTGCTGGCTCTGGTGTGCAGTGAGTAGTGGGGCAGGTGGGGCGCTGGGAGGCCCTCTACCTGCAGACAGGGCCCCTCCCACCTGTTGCTCCCTCTGCAGTGAGTTCCGAAGTGGGCCGGGCTGTGTGGCTGCGCTTCTCCCCACCACTGCCTGCCTCAGGCCCACAGCCCAGCTTTATGGCACACCTGGCTGGTGCAGTGGTAGGTGTAAGCATGGGCCTTACCATCCTTCGAAGCTATGAGGAGCGCCTGAGGGACCAGTGCGGCTGGTGGGTGGTGCTACTTGCCTATGGCACCTTCCTGCTTTTCGCCATCTTCTGGAACGTCTTTGCCTATGACCTGCTGGGTGCCGACATCCCCCCTCCACCGTGACCTGCTCCTTCGGGCCATGTGGCTAGAGCCTGGCCTGCAGTGGGTCGGCCACCAGGTGGGCCTGCATGTCTGCCCTCTATGAACGGACCTCTCAGGGCTGCTTTTCCCCACAGGGGCAGGCAGGCCCTGCGGTCTGCCAGGTTGAGGCCAAGTCTTACTGCAGCCCTTGCTGCCCCTCCCAGGCCTTTCTGGGGGAGGGGTGCTATTAGGTCAGGGCTGGGTGGAGGTCCTTGAATGTGGCCCTAGACGAGATTCCCCTCCCTCCCCACCGATCCCCAGGACTTGCAGTCTGAGCCTTTTTGGAGAATGAATAAATATTTTACACAGCACTAGGTAGCTGTCCTGGGGCTCTGCAGGCTTGTCTGCCCCCTCACCCAGACTGTATGGAACACCTCCCCTCCAGGATGGTCTGTGTGTGCTCCCTTTCCCCTTGAAACTCTGCACCTGGCATGAGGTGGTGGCTTAACTCCTCCAGGCCTGGGCCAGAGCCCACATAGAAGGCAGGGGCCGGTGGTAAGAGGCTGTGGACTTCCAGATCAGGTCAAGTTCAGCAATCATTTATTGTGCTCCAAAGGCTTCCAGTCTCCTGTTCTTTCAGCCCTTCCAAAGACAAGCCCACACCAGAGCCAGGTTCACTTGGCCTGGGCCATTATTCTTGGCAGGCCTACGGTCCTTGTGGGAGGCCCAGTTGGGGGGAAGTTCAGGCAGCAGGTCCAGGTTTAGCTTCCACCCCACAGCCCAAGTCTGAAAGGCTGTCTTCACAAGAGGAAGAGTCTACAGCCCCAAGGCACGACTGGCTAGTGAGGACTACAAGGGTCCTGGGGTCCAGAGTTACTAGCCACCTGAATCCTGATGAGGTCCTGCATGACCTCCCAGGCCGCTCTTGCACCTGGGACAGAAACAGCAATAGCGTTTGATTGTGTACTGCAGGGCTAGCAAGCTAGGCACTGTAGCCACCGCTTCTTTGTTATATGAAAGCTGCCACCTCAGAAGCTCCTGCCACCAGGACCACTGCAAAGAGTGACAGGGAGGTTCTGGGGATAGCTTCTTGGGCTATCCCAACTTGGGCAAAGATGCTTCCTACTCACTCCGAGGCAATGACAGTGAGGAGCACAGATCAGCAGAAAGCCGAGTTCTGCTCCTCCAACTTCGGGGGGTGGGGTGGGGAAGTCAGCGGACAACGGCTGCAGAAGCAGCGGCTAGGAATGGATCTTCTAACAGACCATGGGGTCAAAGGGTCCTAGGTGCAGGGGTTCTCCAAGGAAACCTGCTGGCCCCGCCCTTGAAGAAGCTCCGCCCCATGACTGCAAGAAACAGAGGGTCCAGCCGTGCACCCGCAGCTTCCTCTACAGCTGCCACTGCAGGTCCTTTCGTGTCAACGTGTCACGTGCTTGCTTCTCAGCCATTAATGGCCGCAGGCAGCTCCTCCCGATTCCCAGGGAAGCCCCGCGAGGACTGTCTGACCCGCCGGTCTCCCTCCCACTCCTTCCCTCAATTCCGCGGTCCTACCAGCGGTCCAGATGCTCCCAGGCTCCCGCAGACAACCGCATAGCGGGCTAGGACAGCGGTTCGGTGACCGGTCCTCAGAGAGCCACTTTTCAAGGGCCGCTGCCACGTTCCCGTGCAGTGGGCCGGGGGGCGGGGCTTGAACGGCGAAGGGGCGGGGCTTTTATCTGAATAGTGAGGATAGCTCCTGGTTACTGTGGGGCGGGGCCGGTAGAGAGCGCGGCCACGGCATCGC